GCCAATGGATTCCATCCGAATTTTGCACCGAAGGTAGGCACACACCCAAAGCGTCCATGTCTTCCCGAAGGACTGAATTTGTTACCCACCCACATTCCAAAAAAGCCTGCCGAGGCAAGGCGGGATGAAATTCGCCAAACGGGTAGATGATAGAAAGCTGGGGTGTCCTCAAATTGGGGCTGCCTTCTTGGTTGGTGCTAAACCAACGGCTCAAGTGGTCCCTCCCGACCCCCCTTTTGGAGAAACACCGTGTCGCAAGATGTCGGGTGCCCAAAGACAAGGAGAAACACAGAAAATATGATTATTATTATTTTTAAGATGCGGGCACCGTGCTCATTTGTCTTCTGTTCTTCCTTCGTGAGGGTCTCCGTTCACGCAAAGCTCCCCTGATTTTGTTTTGTCCATTCAAGCGACACCTTCAAAATCACCCGCTAAATGGGGCGGGACGCATAAAAAACGAAACACACACACACACACCAAAAAAAATGGGAAGGCCCTCAAATTTCAAAATCCGGCTCTCTCCGCTGCGAAAAAAATATCTCCCCTGCCGCTGTCCGCTCCTGGCGCCGCAAAGTTGGTGAGGAGCTGGTAAACCTGCAGCGCGAAGCGCGGTTTCGGGGGTTTTGGAGGAGGAAGCCCCAAAAATGTGATTGCGATGCAGGGAAACCACCTGGGTCTGTCTTTGTTTAAGGGTACTTGTGTTGGTAATCAAAGGAAAACCAAAAGAACAAAACGCTTTTGGGGACGAAGCCCCCAAAACTTCTTTTTTTTTTGCGCCGGAAACCAGTGTGGTATGGTACCCGTTTTTGGGGTTGGTACCCGTTTTGGTGGAGGAAAACCAAAAGAACTGTTCACACTGGTTTTTGTTGGGGGGTCCAGCCTTCAAAAAGACACCCCGATGGGCAAAAGGAAACCAAGCAAACCAACCACCTTCATTGCCCAGCGGCCATCGGGAAAGAACAAACAAACAGTTTGGCTGGGTTCAGTGTTTAATCGGAAATCCTCAAAGCACGTGCAAATACAGTTGGACTTCTGGGCAACTGGGCCCAATTCGTGACAAATCGTGGCTGGACGTACCCCGATTCGTCACACCCGAGTCATCAAAAAAGAAACCGCTTGGCGACGAAACCTCACCCGCGACTTCAACCCCCTCGTGGGTAGGCCTTTTACCTTCCATTTGCTTAAGCTCCCTGGGAAAATGAGAAAAGATGTTCAGTGAAATCGATTCCAACTTTAAAACCAACCAGGCAAAAACAAAGGCATTTCAGCAAATGGAAGTATGACCTTCCGGGAGATTCGAACGAAGTGACGAAGTGAACCCCAGCGATGGGCCCAAGTCTTCAAGCTCGGCTCAGGGCGCCGAGTCGAAAAGCAACGCGGACCCGGTTTCAAGGTACAAAAAACACCACCCCAGCCCCTTCAAACAAGACACCCGTTCTCAGACCCTCAGAAAGAAAACAAGGAACAAACCCCAAATCAAAATAAAGACCACCGGAAGCCATGGACTAAACAAACCACCGCAGCCCCCCTCCCCCACCCCCCATCCTCCCCCCACCCCACCCTCCCCCCACCCCACCCTCCCCCCACCCTCCCCACCCCCCACCCACCCGCCCACAAAGCACCCGAAATTTTCCGCGCCGCGTTGGTGAGGGCGGTGGCGCCCAGCTTCTGTGCCACACAGGCGCGGCCTCAGTGGATCGCCGGCGCGCCGGCGCCACGTGGGACGAGGAAAAAAATCCGGCGGGGGGAATGGGGGGGGGGGGGGGAAATGGGGGAAATGGGGGGGGGGGTTTAGGGCGTGTGGGGCTTTGAGGAGTTTCCAAAGTTGTCCTTCTTTCCTTTAGTTTTGTTGGCTGTTCTTTCAAAAAAACAAACTGGCTGTTGGTCGGTGTTGTTGGCGGGTCATAGGGCGGTTTGAGTGGTTTCTTGCAGGGGTTTTAGGATTTGAGTTCTTTGGGGTTTCCCATTCTTTGGGCTTTTCGAAGTTCTACGGTTGACAATCTGCCACCAAAGGAGTCGTCCACCTGGGCTTGAGTTGGGAACTGGCAAATGCTTGGTGGACACAAACCCTTGCGGTTGGGTGTGTCTTTGTTAGAGGCTAGCCGCTTTTGGTTTTCAAGGAAAACCAAAAGGACAGCCACCTTCTTGAAGGGTCTTCTAAAACATGCACACACATCAATCATCTCCACCAAAGGGTCCCTAATGAAAATTCACTATGCGCAAGCAATGCGGCCCAGAATGTGCAACTTGGCGAATTAGCGAGGCTGCCCCCTGCTCTCTAAAAATTCGCTTGGGGCACAGAGGAAGTGGGGCAAATGCCGAGCCAGGGGCAATGGGAGCCATGAGCTCCGGACCAGGCTGAACGAAATTCCGCCCCTGTGCGGGGACCAAAAAAGACGACGTTTCTGGGGGTCCGATGGTCGTTTTGACACATACCACTCATTGGACCCCGGCCACGCCGCACTCAACTCCGAAGACCCCTTCCCTGAGTAGCTGGGTGTTTCCCAAGAAGGATCCCTTTGAAAGGCTCAAGGGGCCATGTGAATATATTTGTCCACCGATTGGGATGCTTGGGCACTTAAAAGGAACCCATGGTTTTTTCAACCAGCTTGGACGTTTGGACGAAAAGGATGTCTCAAACATGGGTTTGGGCTGGACAAAAACGGGCTGGGGTTCCCCCCTAACAATTTGCGGGCGTTGGCAAATGCCTTTAGTTCCAATCTCCAAACGCGCCGAAGCGTTCAAAATGGCAGTCGGGTTTGCATAGTCCAATGTTTGAGACAAGCCATGGCCCTTTTTGTGGCCTTTCCGGTTTCAGGTGTTGGTTGCAAGGCGAATAGCGCTGGTTGCAGTCAGGTTCTACGATTGAAAAATAGATGATCCAAACATCACGGGCGGTGGAAGAATGTCTGTTCGAGCACTTGTACGCAGATTTCGAAATGCAATATACATGCACGTTAAAATGTAACCATGTCAGGAGTGTGTAAACTACTCCCCCTCCCTGAAGGGCTGCTCTCCAAAACTGAACATGTGCTTTGGCCTTGCCTTCATGGACTCTGCCCTTCACATCGAATTCACCGGCTCACTGGAACAGTAAGGGGAGCCAAAGGTTAAACAGTTCGCCAAGTCTTTGAAACTTGAGGCCCAAAAGTTCTGGGTATTTCCACTTCTATTCTTTGTTCTCCGAAAAAACTTAAGCGAATGGATTCTCAGAGCCTTGGAAGCCTATGGTTCGAACATCACCTTTGCCCCTTCCTTTTGCTGGACAAACGAACAAGCGGGGATACGGAGGGAGCGGGGATACGGGGGGATTCCCTTGGCGCCATGTCCCATATCAAACTTAGGCAAGGTGCATCAAACGGGGGAATCCTCAACCGTATCAACCTGGTTCCCCCCGTATCCCTGCTAGTCCTTTGGTTCGAACAGATGTTTCTAGATTTCTTTCTCGCCAACCAAATTCACAACAAAAAAAAAGAAGTGATGGTTGGGCCAAAAGTGAACTTCCTTTTGCAGGACATCGGTCGATTTCCTCACAGCGAAAAGCCATCGGTGTCACACCCTCACAGCGTGCGGCGCCACTCGGCGCTCTCGGAAGGCTTTGCCTCGGGCGTGTGCGAAGAACAAAGCGCGGGCGAAGCGCGGTCCGCGGGGTGGGGAAGTCTAAGGAGTCGCAGAGGCAACGCCGGGTATTAAAGTGGTCGACCCAGAACCATGTGGAAAAAAAAATAACCATTCACCATGAATGATTGAAATATGTTTGTTTAAAACCATCCATAATTGAAATAATTCTCAAGAGAAGGAGAAAAAGAAAGGCGGCGAAGGAACCCATTCTATGGTTGGGATTGTCCCGCAATTCCCTTCATCTTCTAATTGTGGCTCAAATGCAAAATGAAACCCCAAAACAACCGCCAACAACGTTGATTCAGAACATCCAAAGGCAGCGTGAGTCCTCGCTCAAGATGCTAGCCAAAAACGCTTGTCAAATGCGACAAAGCGTTTGCATCATTAAGGCACAGGCGACGTCCTTGACAGCTAGTTTGGTCCTTATTACATGTCCTGACACACCCTTTTGCATATGAGGCATGGTCAAAATGACTGGTTCCCCAAGAAGACAGAGGACAATTAGGGAGCCTCCCGGGTGCTCTGGGAAAGTGTGTGACCCAAATGAACCGTAGACTGGAAACGTCGACCAAACCCCATCGGGGTGTGTAAACATGGAAACCCATCGTTTTGGAGCGCGTTTCAAGGGAACCAATAGGTAATGGATGGAAGAAACCCATTTTGCACCACCGTTCAGAAACCGTGGTGATTGAGTCAATTCCCCTGCAAATACCAACAAACAATGGTTCCCAACGGTTTCCAAGTGGTGCAAGATTTCGTCCATCCGCTGCAGGGCACAGGGGCTTCGCCGATTTGTAGACACGATCGTGGGCACATTGGATGCAGTTTTTTTTGTGGGCCCAACCCCAGCGAAGAACGTCCCCAAGTGTTCAACGTAAGAGGGTGGCACATCCAGAAGGCCACCGCTATGGTTGGGAATCTTGGTTGACGTTGGAAGGGGAGCAACAAATCTCAAATTTTAGCAGTTAAGTGGTTGGATTTCAACCACTAAACCACAATAAGCAAAAATGCAAAATATTTCCCAACAACAAGCGCGGAATGTCCACTCGACCGCCCGCTTTGCCGGTGTTTCTCTGCTCATCTCGTCGTGTTCTCCAGGAGCAGACCCCGAGATGGGGCTATGTCCAGCTTGAAAAGCATCCGCCATGTGCATGCCATGAAAACAAATCCCAACGCGAATCATGCTGCAGGACGGCAAAGGGAAAGAAGTCTGGGCTGTCCGTTTTCAGATCCCCTGCTGAAAGTGAATAACCTTTAGCAGGTTAGATTTGGAAACCCAAAACCACTAAATCAACTAAAAAGCTAAAAAGCTAAAAGCTGAAAAGCTGAAAAGCTGAAAAGCTAAGGAACCGGATGGCTGGGAGCCACCAAGGCAATGTGGTCAGCCAACGAGATGCTTGAGGTCACCTTGAAGAATTCCATTCTGACGCCCAAATGGATTGAAACCAGACCAAACGAACATGAATCCCTGTTTCTGTTGTTTTGTGCGTGTGTGTTGTTTTTTCTCTCCGATGTGGGTTGTGTGTCGATGTGTGTTTCTTCTCATGTGCCCCTCTCTTTCTCTGGGTGTCCTCCCACAAAAAACACAGACGCGTGTCCACCAACGGGTTCTTCAAGCGGCACCAGCACGGCACCAGCACCATGCTTTGGGCTTTGGCAAGGTTCCTCCGCACCGACCCAAAGGCAGACAGCCCGGCTGGCGACTTGTAGAGCAAAGGAATGGGGCAGAACGCACATAGGGGTTTTGCAAACCAAGTCTGGGTGAGAAAACTCACAACTCCTGTGTGCGCTTGGAGGCTGGTGTCATACCCAAGTTCTTGAGACCAGCAAGCGCCTATCAGCCAGCAAGCATGGACCCCTAGTTGGTGCTTTGGTTTGGTGGTGTGGACTGAACGAAGTATCACTTGGCTGCAAAGAGACTGGGGTTCAAACCCCCACCAATCCAGACCACCCTCATGGATTGCAGTTTATGACAATTCGCGCTGTAGACTGCGGTTTAGACTCCAAACCTGACATGAGCGCATATGGGTGTATCTTCTTTCAGGAAGTCCCCTTTTGGTGTTAAAGGCACTTTTCCTGGCGTGAACCAGAAAACCGTTTTTTTTTGGGGGGGAAGGAGGGTTGGTTGAGTATTGGAAACCAGCCCCCTAAAACGCCCAAACTGATCATGGGTTCATCTAGGCCCTACGCATACATTCAGCCGTGGATTGAACATTGCAAGAGGCCAAACATGAGAAGGCCTAGCGCAGATGCCCAGTGGCCGTGGGAACAAAACTCGGCATCCTTGTTTGGTTGGTTGACTTTAAAGGGGAACCCTTCCCCAAAAAAAAGGAGAAAAAAGGCGGAATCCACTGGGCAACTGAGCTAGGTGGCCATGGGTCAGAATCCCGTACCCCCAGTGAACATCCCCATCCCCACTACAATAGACTAAAATGGGTGGTGCACCTACCCCAAAATGGTACCATTGGTTTTGACCCACAGCCAGGTGAGAAAACTTTGGCGAACCCGTTTCGCCGAGTCGGTGTCAGAACAAGCTACCAGCGGAAGTCTTCATGGCAGTTTGAACAGCGACATCGCTACACAAGTCAGCTTGCCCACATGTGGCGACCTGCGTTGCGTGCTTCCATTGGATAATACTGAGGGTAAACAAACGCGAAAACCAGCATGCTATTTGTTTGATTGTTTTTTTTGTGTGTTTCTGTTGTTTTTCTTTTGGGGGGGGGGTACTATATGTGACCCAGTTTGAAAAACCATGTAGGAAGCTCTTTTGAGCAGAATTGGAGATGCACAGCATCGACCTTGATGCGTTCTGTTCGCAGTCTGGTGGGGAACAGTCTGGTAGACCCCATAGCTGCGGGCTGTTGAAACCGCTCTAGACTCTGACACTAGGGGTTCAATTTGGGGGTGTCAATATATTTTGAGGGTACCCCGATTAAAAGCTTGGTTTAAACCAATACAAAACCCTCCCATTTTTGGAGCCCCTATTTAAACGCATAGCCATTTGTTGATTCCTGGAACCAAGCACAAGAAGCCGTTGCGCCAAAAACCTCTCCGTGGTGAGCCTATGGCGTGCTTGAGCCATAGGCTTCTCGCACCACCATTCAGAAACCCTGGTTTCTGAGTCTTCGATTCTCCAACGAGTTTTCTTCAAGTGAGGTCTCACCTGTGGCTTGGTCTTGCAGGAGGTGCCACTCCAAAGTCAAACAAATGAATGCCGCAACAAATGTAGTTTCAACCACGGTTTCATTTCGTGCGCCATGGATTTCGCCACCATCTGCAGGCCTTTGGAGTTCAGGTCCAACGCTACCTGTTCAATACCTCACGTGGGCAAGGGCAAAAACTTTCCTCAGATGAGGCTCTACGGGCCGGATCGAACATGCCCCTCTTCGCCGCTCGTGTCGCACTGGCCATTTCTCCCAAGTGGGTGTGCCTTTTTCTGTGCAGAGGTTAGGGGGCTTAAAGGTTGCGAACGGTTTCCTTCACGGACAAACTGCATGTGGACATTCAACCTCAACCGGGGGCTTGTCGGAAGGTGGGGCCAAGTAAATTGGTCCTGGGGACCCCCTGAAAAAGACGAGTGAGTGACAGGGAACTGGGCCTCTCAACGCATGGGACTTCAAAGTTTCGTGCGCCGGAACTTGGGCTAGAGATACATTGGTGTTTGGAAGAGCCATCTGGATTGCCCCCACATAGGGAGGACCTGCTAGAAATGGCTACTTTCCTTCCGCAGGTGTAAAGGGTACCCTCACACACAAACACGCAAACAGACAGACACACAGACAGTCACACAGACAGCAGGCAGGCAGGCAGGCAGGCAGGCAGGCAGGCAGGCAGGCAGGCAGGCAGGCAGGCAGGCAGACAGGCAGACAGGCAGGCAGGCAGGCAGACAGACAAACAGACAGACAGAAAGAGAGCGAAAGGCTCCAAGGAAGCCCACTTGCTGAAAAGGCCGTTGAACAGGTACTGGAACGG